ATGTCTTTATATTTAAAGTGGGTTTCTTGTAGACAACATATAGTTGGATCTTGTGGGTTTTCTTTAATCCATTCTAATAGTCTTGTTCTTTTAATTGTGTATTTAAACAATTTAGATTTAAAATGATAATTAATATAGTTAATATCCACCATATCTATAACTTTTTAATTTGTTGCTTATATATTTTTTTTTTTGGTCTTTCATTCTTTTTCTGCCTTCTCTGGTTTTAATTCAGCATTTTATATGATTCCACTTTCTCTCCTCTGTTGGCATATTGTAGGAAACCAGAATATGTCACCCCAAAATGTGCCTCATTGGCATAAGGATTACTTTGAGCTGATCATTTTGAGAAACAACAGACACAAGACAAGCTCTGAAAACAAGAGTAAAATTTACCCTCTTGTGTTATGCCATTCTTGTGTTGCTATAAAGGAATACATGGGACTGAGTAATTCATAAAGAAAAGAGGTTTAATCAGCTCAGAGTTCTGCAGACTTTACAGGAAGCATAGTGCTGGCATCTGCTTCTGCTAAGGGCTTCAGAAGCTTAGAATAATGGTAGAAGGCAAAGGGAGAGCAGGCAGTGTCACCTAGAGAGGGAGTAAGAAAAAGAGGAAGGAGGTGCCACACATTTTTTTGTTTTGTTTTGTTTTGTTTTGTTTAAGAGACAGAGTTTCGCTCTTGTTGCCCAGGCTGGAGTGCAATGGCACAATCTCGGCTCACTGCAACCTTCGCCTACTGCGTTCAAGCGATTCTTCTGCCTCGGCCTCCCGAGTAGCTGGGATTTCAGGCATGCACTATCACACTTGGCAAATTTTGTATTTTTAGAAGAGACAGGGTTTCTCCGTGTTAGTTAGGCTGGTCTTGAACTCCTGACCTCAGGTGATCCATCTGCCTCGACCTCCCAAAGTGCTGGGATTACAGGCGTGAGTCACCACACCCGGTCGGTGCCACACACTTTTAAAAAACCAGACCTCACGAGAATTCACTCACTTTTGCAAGGACAGCACCAGGCCATTCATGAGAGATCTGCCCCTATGATTGACCCAAACACCTCCCACCAGGCCACACCTCTAATACTGGCGATTACATCTCAATATGAGACTGGAGGGGACAAAGATCCAAACTATATCACCTCTTGGAAGGGCAATTCACACTTACAAAGAACAATCTCCATTTGTACGGGTGTCTTCCTTCTCTGAACCAGGAAGACAAGGATAATTAAATCATTAAAAAACAAAACTTCTCATTGATGGAAAAGGTATCAACTTAAATCTGCATAACAGACCTTACTCTTGTTTGCCATACTTTTCCTGATCACCTCTCTGTAACTGGCCTCCCCGACACCATTCTTTTTTTATTTCAGCTGAAGATAGTATTTAAGCTTGAATTCTAAGCAAGGAGGGAGGTGCCACACACTTTTAAACAACCAGATTTCATGAGAACTCAATCACTATTGCAAGGACAGCACCAAACCAAGTAACTCTCTTTGAGAGTTACTCATTTTTCCCTGGATATCTCCCACATATAGACTAGGATACATATGTCATAAGACAAAATTACGACAAATTTAGTTTAAAGATCTTAATTAGCTTTTATTTGCAATTCCAGAATCGGGCAACATTTCAATCTATAAAATAGAATGGATGTTCTGATGAGCTGAGCAGAAGGAGCTGGTTTTATAGGAAGAAATGTTGGTTTTCCTCTGTTTCTAAGGAAAGCAGAAACAGAGAACAAAAAAATGGATTGATCATTTCAAAGTTAAAGGATAAAGCAGAAGAGACTTTTTTTTATCATGGTAGCTAAAACTGGCCTGTTTGGGAATTTGGCTATTTCTCTCTCTCTCTCTCTCTCTCTCTCTCTCTCTCTCTCTCTCTCCCCCTCCCTCCCTCCTGCCTCTCCCCTACCCCCTTTTTCTCTCTTGATTTCTCAAAAAGTCAGATAAACAACTTAGTTTCAGCTTGGTAGCATGGAACTTGAGTGTGATTTCATTTTGGTTTGGTCTATTGGGCATAGCGAAGAAGCTCAATTTAAATCAGTCACCTCCTATAAATTTTATTTAACACACGTTTATGTTAATAAACTTCTGTTTGTTTTTCTATGGTTAATCTTCTTTTGTTACAAGGGGTCCCACCTAAGAAATATGAAGGGGCTGGGAGCGGTGGCTCACACCTGTAATCCCCGCACTTTGGGAGGCCGAGGCGGGTGGATCATGAGGTCAGGAGATTGAGACCATCCTGGCTAACACGATGAAACCCTGTCTCTACTAAAAATACAAAAAATTAGCTGGGCATGGTGGCGGGCACCTATAGTCCCAGCTACTCAGGAGGCCGAGGCAGGAGAATGGCGTGAACCCGGGAGGCGGAGGTTGTAGTGAGCCGAGATCACGCCACTGCACTCCAGCCTGGGCAACAGAGGAAGACTCCATCTCTGTCGGAGTAAGAAGTATGAAGGATAGAGGAAAACTCTAGGACATCACTAACTTTTTTTTAAAAGATATATAATTGAAACTATAGGGGAGAAAAAGGTTTTGAGTATTGCTTTATAAAATTTCCTGTGCTACAGAATGTATCAGGATTTAATGAAGTACACTTATACTTCGTTTTTTCCATTTACTCTTTATCTGGAATTTATTTTGATGTGAGGTATGAGTTTGAGTTGGGATCCAACTTCACTTTTTCTAGACGGCTACCTAGTTGTGTCAACATCATTTGCTGAATTTTAAAAGTTTTTTTTAAAAATCAAGAATGTATGTTGAATTTTATCAAACACCTTTTTTGCATTTTGGAAATGACAGATTTTTCTTTTTCTTTATAATGATATTTAGAGACAGGAGGTCTCACTACATTGCCCAGGCTGGCCTCAAACTCCTGGGCTCAAGGGATCCTCCCATTTCAGCCTCGCAAGTAGCTGGGACTACAGGCACAAGCAACTGTACCCGGCTATTTCTAGTAAAATAGAAATACTTTATTATAATTTTTATTTGATTTAGGATTTTTCCAGTAATATTCATGAGTACGAATTTTTTTTATTTTTATTTTTTAGATATGGAGTCTTGCTCTGTCTCCCAGGCTGGAGTGCAGTGGTGTGATCTTGGCTCACTGCAGCCTCCACCTCCCGGGTTCCAGCGATTCTCCTGCTTCAGCCTCCCGGGTAGCTGAGATTACAGGCACACACCACCATGCCTGGCTAATTTTTGTATTTTTAGTAGAGACAGGGTTTCACCATATTGGCCAAGATAGTCCTGAACTCCTGACCTCAGGTGATCTGTCCGCCTTGGCCTCCCAAAGTGCTAGCATTACAGGCGTTAGCCACCACGCTCAGCCATGAGTAAGAATTTCTATGGTCAGTGTATATGTATATGCTAGATGGGTGTTTTATGAGATTTTGGTATAAGTGTTACGCTCACTTCATAAATAGAATTTGAAATGCTTCCTTTTTTTTTTTTTCTGTGCTTAAGGCAGAATCAACAGCAACCAACAGCAACCAACTCTCTGTTCCTTAAATTTTCACAGTAGAATTATCCTATGAAATAATTTGGGCCTGGTGCTTCTGTGGATTTAGCTATGGAGATAACACAGTTCTCTAACAACATCTATTTCTTTTTTTTTTTTTTTTTTTTTTTTTTTTGAGACCGAGTTTCGCTCTTGTTGCCCAGGCTGGAGTGCAATGGCACAATCTCGGCTCACAGCAACCTCCGTCTCCTGGGTTCAACCGATTCTCCTGACTCAGCCTCCCGAGTAGCTAGGATTACAGGCATGTGCCACGACGCTCGGCTAATTTTGTATTTTTAGTAGAGGCAGGGTTTCTCCATGTTGGTCAGGCTGGTTTCGAACTCCTGACCTCGGGTGATCTGCCTGCCTCCGCCTCTCAAAATGCTGGGATTACAGGCATGAGCCACCGCGCCCGGCAAACATCTATTTCTTCCATGGTAATTGGTCTACTTAGAATTTCTATCTCTAGAATGTTTTGGTAAATTACATTTTCTTGGAATTTTGTCCATTTCATTCAAGTTTTCAAATTTATTACACAGAACTGACTGATTATGCAATTCTTTTAAGTTTTCCTGTATCTATGGTTATTTCCCCTTTATCATTTTGTATTTTGAGATGCTCCTCTTTCTTTCTTGAGCCAACCACCCTATTGTTGCCTTTTTCAAATCTCTTGCTTATTAGTATTCCCATTCCCATTTCTACTTTTTATTTTCTTCTTTTATTCTTACGAATTCCTTCTTTCTGCTTCTCTTAGGTTTACCTTGCTATTTTTTTCTAAATTATTTAATTTACTTTTATTTTGAATTTTTAAAAGCACTGCATTGGTATATCCCACAGGTACTACTAATATGCAGCGCTTTCTCTCTTTTTTTTTTTTTTTTTTTTTTTTTTTGAGACGGAGTCTCACTCTGTCACCCTGGCTGGAGTGCAGTGGTGCGATCTCAGCTTTTTTTTTTTTTTTTTCTTTTTTTTTTTTTTTTTTTTTTTTTTGTTCATTTTTAAGATATTCAGTGATTTCAGTTTTGAGACGGTTAAGAGGATTTCTTCATGCTTTTTTTTTTTTTAACATTTCGAAAATGTTATACAATTTTGCATTGTTTTATTCTCCACTCCTTTGTATCCTACGACAGTCTCCCGCCCCTTTCTTCACCTCAGTGCTCTAAAGATCGAAGGTCAAGAAGAGAGTTTCTTGTCCTGGAGCCTGCGAGAGGGTGGGCCCTTGCAGTTCATGCGCGGAAACAGCGATAGGGACATCCAGGGCCTGAGGAGGCTGGGGACAGAGCAGATCCTCCCAGCCCCTAACACCGCCCGGGAGTAGATGCAAACCCCCAGGGCCCCGGGGGCCGGGACCACACCCCGCGGGCACGAGTCCGATTGGCAGATTGTAGCCGAGTGGTTTCAACGGTGACGCCCCCACCCGAATGCCTCGCTGGGATTGGCTCATTTCTTGGTTCAGACCTGGACGGTGGCCAGAGGAGGACAAGAGGCTTTCACACAGAACGGAGGTGATGTGGACGACAGCGGAGACGCAGCCGCACTTGAACAAGCGACCGGGCCCCGGGGACATGGCGGCAGCGTCTGCACCGTCAGTGTTGCTCGCGGCTGCAAGAAACTGGTGGCGGCACTGCCTGCGCCCGCTGCTGTTGCCAAAGTGACGGGGCATAAAGCGGCGGTCGATCGGTGCGTGGGGGCGGGGGAGGGGTGAAGGGAGAACGAGGCTCGAGCGGGAGGACAGGACGGCATCCGCTTGTCAGGGGATTGGGCTTCCAGTCCCCCTTCCAGAGGGCGTCGTTCTGCAGCCAGGCCTCTGTCTTTCCCCCGCCCCTACAGGGCACGAGCTACAGAATGTTTTTTTGTTTCTATTTTTTTAAAGTAAGGAAGCACTTTCCTTTCTCCTCCGTTTATTCATTTGTTTACTTCTGGTTCCCGTGTCCTTTTAACATGTCCCCGTCATTCCCTGTTTAAGGGCACAGGATGTTCCAGGCTCATCTTGTACTTAGCTCCTGCCTTGGAATCAGACATTTCTCCAAAGAATCCTGATTCCTTTTTTTGGAGAATGTTATTTTATAGCCGTATCTGGGTTGTAGGTTGTGTTCGTTGCTACTAGGATGCCGTTACTTCTAGACTGTCTCAGCAAACAAACGCTAGGAAACTTTATGTGTATATTTATATGTGTGTATATACATATATATGCACACACACGTTATGTGTATATGTGTGTGTATGTACATATGTATACATATATATGTACACGCACTCTCCCCACACACATCCATACACGCATCAATCCAGGTACATCTATATCTGTTTTATATCTATCTACATGTATGTTTAAAAAAACAGCTGAGTTCATACTGTTACCTCAGTTCCAGTGCATCATCTCAGGGTTCAGTCAGATCTGCCCTTTCTGTAATTGTTACTGTTTTCTGAGAGTGAGAAAGCTGGTTGTCCTTATCCACAAGATATTCACTTCTTTGCTCAATCGTGTACAAAAAGTTGATTCAAAATCGCTAACCCGTACCACTGTGAAAAACAGACCAACTGGCCAGAGTTCAATATTGGTTTACAGTTATTTTTGTCTTTAGTTTCTGTAATTAAAACTGTATTATACAGGTTATGAAGGCAGTCATAGAGGTGTTATGACTATAGAGGTTACAAAGTCTCTGTAATTAAGATGTGGAACTAGTGTGTGAATAATAGAAAAAGACAAGTAGAATAGAATAGAAAATCCAGAAGTAACCCCAAGTGCACATGGGAAGTTAAAGGTGGTATGACATATCATTGGAGCAGAGTTGGGCTTTGTGATACACAGAGCTGGGCCAACTGGTTGGCCATTTGGAAAAAGATAAAATTAGCTCTACACCTCATAGCATAACAAAAATAAAGTCTAAATGGATCAGGGATCTAAATGTGAAAAATGAAACAATACAAGCACTGAAAGAAAAAGGCTTTCTAACTATGACTCAAAAACCCATAAGCAATAAAATAAAAAGTTGATAAATTTGACCACATAAAACAAATGGCATGACAAATACATCATAAAGTCAGAAGACAACTGAAAAAACACTGGATTGGGAGAAAATAATCTGTAGCACGTATCACGGGGTAAAGGATGAATATCTTTCATATTTAAATTTGAATTTTAAAAATTTTCCAAATCAGTTTTCTCTGTTTACATTCAGCAGTGGCAAAGTGACTTTATCTTTTACATCAGAATATGTCAAAAAAGTAGTAAGTTACACTGCTTTTAAAGATAAGAGTCATCCGTTTAAAAAATACTTATTATATCATGTGTCTTAGGGTCCCAGAAGTAAACCCTAAGACAGGAATTCCTGTGCAAATAATTAGAAAGTTTCCAGGAAAAAATCGCAGGGAAATAGGGAAATAGAATAGAAAGGGAAGGAAGGCCACAGAGCAAGCTGCTCTAAGCCTGTTCCCCTCGAGGTGACTCAATCCTGTTGAACTCTAAGTCAGGGTGCATAGTCAATCCTTGGAGTTGTCCTTACCAGAGAACCAGCAAGCTGGTGTGTACGTCTCTGCCGAGTCACTGGTTAAGGTCTGCCCTCAGGGAGACCCGACTTCCCAGATACTTTGGGTTTTATAAAAATATAAAACTTTATACTTAAGACTTAGTATAAAGTCATCCATTCAGAACCTTCTTGTTAACTATTGGACTTGCATAGAGGGAGTTTTTGTTTCAAATTAAACAGAAACTAGGGTTGCAGGTATGTATCTCAACCAATTGACAAACTGAAGCTTTCTTTCTGGGTAGACTAGGATCCATGCCTTTTCTGTTCACTATTGTCAAGTTTAAATGCAGTGTGCAACATGAAAACCGCAGTGATGTGTTATGAGTTGGGAATCTTTGTCATTTGTGATATCTGCATGCTATCTGTTTTCAAAGCTCACTGCTATATTAGCTATGAAGTAAAGCTTGTTTTAACAAACCGATAGGCTTCATTAAGATCATGGCTATATAAGTCATGGTTTCCTATTGGAAAGATAATTATCTTTAAAGTGAATGATAACCAGTGAATAGTGAATACATATCAGAACAACTTGCCCTGGAGATGTAAATGCAGAGCTTATTCACTATTTATACATCTTAAACACAGAAGAATAATGTAGAAAATGTCTATTTTGATTTTTCCTAGGACATTTTTTTAGCTAGTGATGTTTAGGGTATGGGAGGGAAAATAACCTAATGAAGCAAGTTGCTACACATGAATATCTAGAAATGATACTAAGACTTTTGAAAAATAGAGTTTATTTTATTTTTTAAATGGCTTTAGGTTTCCAGAAAAAAGTTACAGGTTTACAGAGAAGATAGTACAAAGAGTTCCCATATACCTTGGATGCTATTACATGTTATTAACATTTTACATTAGTATGGTAAATTTGTGGTGTAATTATATTATGGTTAGTATGCTACAATTTTTTTTTTTTTTTTTTGAGATGGAGGCATTCTCTGTTGCCCAGGCTGGAGTGCAGTGGCACGATCTCGGCTCACTGCAACCTCCACCTCCTGGGTTCAAGCGATTCTCCTGCCTTAGCCTCCCGAGAAGCTGGGGCTACAGATGTGTGCCACCATGGCCAACTAGTTTTTGTATTTTAAGTAGAGACAGGGTTTTGCCATATTGGCCAGTCTGCTCTTGAACTCCTGACCTTGTGATCTACCTGTCTTGGCCTCCCAAAGTGCTGGGATTACAGGCGTGAGCCACTGCACCCAACCAGTATGATACAATTAATGAACCAACATTGATGGGTTATTATGAACTAAAGTCCACAATTTATTCATGTTTTCTTAGTTTTTGTGTAAAGTACTTTTTCTGTTCCAGAATCTTATCCAGGATACCACATTCCATTTTGCTGTCATGTCTCTTTAGACCCCTCTAGGCTGTGACAGTTTCTCAGATTTTTCCTATTTTTGGTGACCTTGACGGTTTGGAGGAGTATTCAGGTATTTTGTAGGATATCTTTCTGTTAGAATTGACTGATGTTTTCCTCTGGATTAGACTTGAATTTGGGGCTTTGGGGAACAGAACCACAGATGTAAAGTGTGATTCTCTCTCTCTCTCTCTTTTTTTTTTGAGACGGAGTTTCGCTCTTGTTGCCCAGGCTGGAGTGCAATGGTGCAATCTTGGCTCACTGCAACCTCCACCTCATGGGTTCAAGCAATTCTCCTGCCTCAGCCTCCCGAGTAGCTGGGATTACAGGCATGTGCCACCATGCCTGGCTAATTTTGTAATTTTAGTGTGGGGTTTCTCCGTGTTGGTCAGGCTGGTCTCGAACTCCCAACCTCAGGTGATCCGCCTGCCTCGGCCTCCCAAAACGTTGGGATTACAGGCGTGAGCCACCGCACCCGGCCTAATGTGTGATTCTCGTCACATCAGATTGAGAGTTATGATGGTTGCTGTTGACCTTAATTACATGGCTGAGGTAGCACTGGAAAGGGTTCTGTGCTGGAAAGTTACTCTTCCACCCTCCTTCCACACTGTACTATTAGGAAGGAAATCACAAGGTCCAACTCACACTTAAGTGAAACATTTTCTTCTAACTTTTCAAAAGGATCAGGTTGTTTTGGATGAAGCAGATAAAAATGTTGAACCAAGGAATTAAGGATCAAATCCATGAGATTTACTAGAAATTAAATACAAGTACTCTTGTGCACATGAGTTTTCTCCAGCTGGCAGGTTGGATTCATTGTTACAACATAGCTGTGAAGTGCTACGTTGTCCTTGTCCCCTGCTGAAAGCAATTGTTTCCCACAATCTCTGTCTCACTCAGTTCTATAGTAAGACATGGACGCTTGGTCTCAAACATTATTTCTCTAAGTATTGTTATGAAACTATTACATCTGCTTAATTGATTTGTCAACATAATTAGTCATTGTCTTTTTTGTTTTTCAGAGTCTCACTTCATCGCCCAGGCTGGAGTGCAGCAGCACTATCTGAGATCGCTACAATCTCCGCCACTCAGATTCAAGCGATTATCTTGCCTCAGCCTCCCGAGTAGTAGCTGGGAGTACAGGCGTGTGCTACCATGCCCAGCTAATTTTTGTATTTTTGGTAGAGACCTGGTTTTGCCTTGTTGGCCAGGCTGGTCTCGAACTTCTGACCTCAAGTGATCCGCCTGCCTCGGCCTTCTAAAGTGCTGGGATTACAGGCGTGAACCACTTAGCCTGGTCAGTTATTGTCTCTTTTTAAAGATTGTGTTGCTTTCTGCCTCAATATTAATATGTTGGAAATTACCAAGAAGTTCATGACAGATCTATTTCACATTCTGGTGAAGAAGGAAGAATTGGCCCTTGAAGGAGTCAATGTTTTACAATAATTTTGAAAGAGGGTAATGTTTTTCTAATTGATACACATAAAAACCATAGCCAGGGATTTAAAATTTACCTTCTTGTTTAAGCTGTCTACTAAAATTCCAGAAACTAGTATCATGTCTTAGCATTTGTAATAAAGCTATCAGAGAAAAGCCAAGAAGAAAAAAGAACTGTACCAGATAGAAAAATTGAGTTGAACCTTTTTTTTTAGACGGAGTCTCACTCTGTCACCCAGGCTGGAGTGTAGTGGCGCAATCTCAGCTCACTGCAGTCTCCACCTCCCAGGTTCAAGTGATTCTCCTGCCTCAGCCTCCCGAGTAGCTGGGATCACAGGTGCCCACCACCATGCCTGGCTAATTTTTTGTATTTTTAGTAGAGACAGGGTTTCACCATGTTGGCCAGGCTGGCCTCGAACTCCTAAACTCAGCTGATCTGCCCACCTTGGCCTCCCGAAGTGCTGGGATTACAGGCGTGAGCCACCATGCCCAGCCTGAGTTGAACCTCTTTTTTAAAACAGGGTACTTTGTTATAAGATCTGGTACAGTAATATCTATATTTAGGCAGAATTAGTAAAATCAATGAATAACTATTCTCTTCCAGTGGTAGGGATGAGGTGTAGAAATCAAATGACTTTTTATTCCAACTCTGACATGAATTAACATTTTCCTCTTGGAAATACTGTAAGGAAAGAAATTGTATGCTCTTAATGACGAGAGATTGACCAGTCAGGTTGTTCCTTGTAGAACACAGAGTGAAAGGTATCCTGGCTTCTAAGAAAAAGCATGCCAGTTTCTGGTGTGGTAAGAGCTGCTCTTCCTTAGTATTGCTAATTAGGATGCTATTAATATCTGATTATAGTTGAGCCTTAAACAACCTGATTAGGGGCACCAGCCCCGATACAGTCAAAAATCTGCAGATAATTTTTGACTCCCCAAAAACTTTACTAACAGCTTAATGTTGACCAGAAGCCCTACTAATAACAGTCGATTAAACACATATTTTGTATGTTATATGTATGATATACTGTTTTTTTTTTTTTTTTGAGACGGAGTCTCGCTCTGTCGCCCAGGCTGGAGTACAGTGGCCGAATCTCAGCTCACTGCAAGCTCCGCCTCCCAGGTTTACGCCATTCTCCTGCCTCAGCCTCCCAAGTAGCTGGGACTACAGGCGCCCGCCACCTCGCCCGGCT